AATGATCATGACATTTATCATGGCCTAGACTTGGGGCATGTGATAAACAGAGCATCGTTGGTATCAGAATGCTCATCTTTATATGCCGCGCTTTGACAGTAACAAACTCTTCTTGTGCACTTTATGTAACCGTCTCGGCCCGTGACAATGGGCAACCGAGCTGTCATTGACATGGACTCGTAATAAATGATCTAACTTGATAAAACAATGTGGAGCATAAGATGAAGAAAAATTTGGTATCAAGACTTAAGAATCAAAATGGAACTGCATAATGTACATTATGATATAAAAATGTTTTTTTTTAATCTCATCATTATGGAACCAAATACTACCTTTAAAGGATTAAAACAGCATTCTCAGAGGGCTGAACCTTTAAATATCAGAATTTATTTGGGCTTTTGAAAATGAATCAATCTACAGTTGTGTATTAAACATATTTAAATCATTGTTTTCTTTTTCATTGTTTGTTCTGATTGTATTGTTGGTGTACAGTCTGCAGCTTTGTCTCAAGGTTGGTACCATTTTACCTGTTTTAGGTGAAGCCAAGAACCAATGCCAAAACAGTTGCTTGAATGGCCAGTGCGAGTCGATCTCCATCGACTCCTATGTCCCATGTACAGGGGTTTTATTAAGGCTTAAAATGGAACAGGTGAAGGCCTCGAGAGCGGTGTTTCCCAACCATTTGCAGCCATGGTACATATTTCCCATTAGAAAATCACACAGCACACCACCAAACAAAAATGTCGCAAAAAGCATATTGATCATTTTTCTCCGTGAAGCCGGTATAGCGGAATTGGCTCGCTTTGTCCCCAGTATACCTTTTTTTTTTTCTCACTCATGCCCGAGCCTTCATCTGGGTCCGAATGTTCTCCAGGACTCAGGTCAGACTGACTACTTTTTCTTTTTGAAACACTTATCTTTTGCTATTACGTGCTGTGTTGTCTCACTTGCAGCATGACCATGCCATTTCTTCTTCGTCTTCTTCTGTTTTACTGGCAGTTGGTAACCCGTTTAATTGGAGTAAGAAGTTGTACTGCCCTCTAGTGGAAAAGAATATAATTGTTCTGCCCATTACTCAACGCTGGTCAATTACAGCAGCGGTCCCCAACCCCTGGGCCACAGGCTGGTACCGGTCCGTGAGTCGTTTGGTACCGGTCCACGAGAGTTGAGGCTCGGGTGTGAAATGTATGGTTTTCAGGGTTTTTATTGTTATTTTTCAATGATTTTTATCATTAACTCGGTTTCCCTGGGTCTTTTCCCATGTGTTGTGAATAAATCTTCTTATTTTGTCACCTGTACTGGTTTTATTTTGTTATATTTATCCGCAACACCTTAAAGGCCAGTCAGTGAAAATATTGTCAGACGTAAACCGGTCCGTGGCACACAAAAGGTTGGGGACGGCTGGATTAGAGTACCAATCAGGTGGAACCAGATAATCTTTCACCGCACACCTGATCATTTCTCGCGGCACATCCAGTGGTTGTGAAACACTGCCCTAGAGGGTCTGAAAATTCAAGCTGCTGAACTGCATTGCTAAACCCTGTTTGTGGTATTGGTGTCTTTTGGAGTGTTGTCTGACAAACATTATGGTTTGTTGCATAGTTAACTGTCCCATCAGTTCATCTAAAAAGTTAGTGCTCCAGTTCTCATGAGAGAAATTTTAGTATTTTATTTTTATTGTACTTAGCTCTATTAGCTCGATGTGCAATGCTACCATACAGTGTCTAGATGCACATTCTCAGTCATATTTGCTAGCCTTTGCTGATAACTTGCATCGGAACTTTTCATGCAATTATGGTCACTTCTCTTTCCAGCAACATAACAACATAACAGCAGAGTTGAGGCTTCACAGCAAAAGTCTACAAACAATGAGTAACATCAAAGGGGCCGAGTCCATCCTTTCTATTACCTCCATTTCTGGTAGTCTCAAAACCTGGTTGATCAGTAGCTTCTATGCTAGTATGCCAACACTGACTGTTTGACCAATCAATCATCCAAATTCTGCAACAATATAAACTTTGAACTGAATCCAATGTGCTGCCAATCAGCATTAAATTCTACTACCTTCAAACTCCAGGCCACAGTTTATTCCATAATTGTACAAATGAAATACAACTGAATAGTCTTTCACCTAATATCTGTAACAGTCCTTGACAGTGTCGGTGCCTGCCAGCTGCCTGACTTGTCCATATGTTTGGTATTAGATTAAAATCCTTGAATTACTCACTAATCTGGCACCCTTTGTCACTAAAATAAGGGTAAGATTCAATGTGCAAACACTGCCTGGATAGAAAAAAAATTGAAATCTCTTAATGCACAAGAGCTTTTTTTTTTTTTTTTTTTTTTTTTAACTTTCAGTGATTTTTGAGGGGAAAACTGAGTCGATCCTAATGGACTTGGCTCAAAAGCACTCCAAAGGAGAGAGCCACTACTGATGGAAATGTGTGTGCTGGAGAACTGCCAAGTGCATTTTACTGTCCACCGTTTCTGTTTATATGTCATGAACTCCACCAGGCAGACTTCAGCCATCTCATCAGGGCTCAGAGTCAGTATGCCTGAGAGATATGCTGTCAAAATGCCACCTCTCTCTGTCGCCAGACTTTAGTCTCCTCTGTGTGTGAGTGTCTGTGACTGTGCTCTCACCCGCTATTTGATTGCACTGTAATTGTTTGTGCTTATTTTGAGCATCCATGCTCTTCAGGACATAGGTGTGCATGTTGTATGATGTAACAGAAAGCTGGTCATTTCTCATAATGAAGCTCAACTCAATCATTTTGGATAATGATTGAGAGAGTCGGCACACAAAATCTGAGTAGTTTTGTTTTTAAGTAGGAAATGTGCACAGTTTTTCATTTTTATTTTCCCATTCAGTTATTTCACATAAGCCCACTTAAATTGTATTTCTCCAACTCTTTCTCCATTTCTTACCGGCTTATCTTTCTGGCACACTCAACTGTGCGGAGTGTATAGCAGCTGTAAACACGCTATGAATGTATATGACTACATACAAAAAAGGTCACAGCAGCCCTTCTATATTACTACCGCTGCCACTTTTAGTGTAAAATATTGATCATATTTCTCTATAATGTGGCTGTGAATAAGTGGCCGGCAGGGCTCTGCAGTGCAGAAGTGGAGGTTTCAAGTGGAAAGTAATAGAAGATGTGACCTCACGGCTCCACAGATGGAACATGAACATACTTTCCCTCTCATGAGCCATATGATTAATTCATATCACGAGAGGGTGTTTTTTTTGTTTTGTGTGTGTGTGTGTGTACAGCTAGTGTGACCAAATAAGCACGTGGGAGGGGAATCTAAGGTATTGCGTGACCTTGGACAAGCCGAAAACATATTTATGACTAACCAAATACTTGAAATGCTGTATGCATATGTAAATATAAGCCAGACAGTGTGTGATATACTGAAGTTTTGCCCATTTCTCTACTCAACTCGTAGCTGTGAATGCATGTATTCATATATTTCTGTCCCTACACACATTAATTACCACCCAGTTTTCTTCAGGCATGTTGTAAATTCTGAAAAGGCTAAACAGTGGCAGCCAGATCAGTCAATACGCTGGATTTATCAGATAAAAATCCATCTTCCTTCCTTACTAGCACCTGGCTGGTTGATTTTTCCTCACCTTTCCTTTTCGTCTTGGTCTCCTGCCTCCGTGTCTGTTGCTCTGCCATCCCTGCAGCCAACCGAATGTGCCCCAGCTCCCTCTACTGACATAATTGTAGCCAATGAGCAAATCTGTTGCAGCCTGATTAGCAGCATCTAAACAGCACTGGCCCCGGACATAATTTAGACATAGATGGAGGGAGAGAAATAATGGCACAGAGGAGAAGGGAAAAATGTACCGAAAAGACACTAATAGGTTCTGCAACATCTGTTATTTTTAGGGATTATAAATGATATATTGCATGTACGACCGGTTGTGCGATTTCTGTGGGGTACACAATAGCTTAAAGGCTGCTGTGAAATGCTTGGACCGAGAGATCCCTGTTTTAAATTCCCTGACAGGCTTAAAAATATTGATGTGGTTGTGAATTAGTAACACTCTCCCTCGCTGACTGCTGTCAGGATGCCCTTGAGCAAAACGTAGTGGCTGCAGCTGTGTTGCGGTTTTATTCCTCAGCTCGCGGCTGTGATTTTTGTGAGTGGTGATTATTTTTTTTGCGCTAAAGTGGCCATTCGTGCCCATCCATGGTGAAAATTTGTCTCAATCACCTCAACGTAAAACCTCAACACCTGTCATCGTCATTGTTTTCCAAGGTCTGAGCCTTGCTAAATAAAACTTGATTGATCGCCTATTAATGTATCTGAAGGCAACTATGATTTACTTGTTCGGAACAAACAAGACAGCTTCCATTTTTCTCCACTAATGGCGTTCCTCCGCACCATAACTCTTCTTGTCTCCATGTATTCAGGCTCCATTACATGTGGCATCCATTTCAAAAGCAGTGTCTTGTGTCTGTCGGACCATTACTCTATGTGGGAGAGCTGATAAAATGAGCCGAAAGGCTGTGTGGTAACTAAGAATAGCAAGTGTTGCTGGGGAGTTGTAAAAGCGTGTTTGTTTATTGCTGTTTTATTTCAATTTTATTTGGTTTACGCAAAAGTAATTACACTTGTAAGAATCTGCAAGACAGATACAAAAAAGCCTAAGAGAGCTGTTGCACCACAACTGCTTGTTCGATGATTTAAAATGGCTGTTTGGGTGCTGTAAACAACACCGTTAGAAATTAAAAATGGGTAAGTGCAAATCTCAAACCCATGTTTAATTCTGCGTTAGGGTGAGGACTGTGTGAATATTGACTGTGGGATGTCTGCAGATATACACACTCGCACAGATGCACAGCCCACTGTTTTCTCTCCCTTCCTTGGTCTCTCGCATAAACACGTATCAGCAAACACGTGCGTGATCTATAGCTTTATTTCCCCGAGGGTCTGTTGTTCAAACATTAATGTGACTTCTTCCTCTGTTTATTTCTCCACAGAGAGCAAAGAGGTGTATAAGAGACAGGTGCTGTCAATCACATCCATCGCCATGGCAATTAGCCTCCTGGGAACGCTGTGCATGGCCCTCTACTGCCGCAACAAGTGAGAAAATAAACTCACAACACCGCACATAAAGTCTACAGATGGCTGTTAAAACTACAATTCAAATCTTTTTCAATTCAGCATACTTACTAGCTTATTACTTACTTCCTGTAGGTAATATTCAAATTGCACTCGCGCAGTTAAATGCTGAGATCTGGGAACAACACTTCAACAACAAAGTGGATCAGTGAACAAATCTTTCTTTGAGAAAGAAGAAAGTCGTGTAAAACTGCTTGTTGTAAATGAACTGTCACTAAGTAAACTTTAAACAGATTGCAGTGCACTGCCAGCAAGCATTAAAATCTACAAACTTCAAACTAGAGGCGACAGGTTATTTCATAATTGCACAAATAATGTGTGAATCTCCACCTCTAAGCATTATCTTCCTAGGAATTATGTTTCAGTACAAACAGCGAGCAGACTACGTAACAGATGGAGACGAACAGGTGTTATTTTTAATGTATTCAAGCTCTCTTTATCACTAATGTGTGAATGGTTTGTTAAGTAACATCAAAAATCAGACTTTCTTCAACCCTCTTTGTTGCATCTAACAGCCTCTAGACTTGATTTCATTTCTGTTAAAGACTCGGGTCATATTTGCCCCACAAACTGTTGCATTTGTGCATTGAGCCGAGGTCCCAAATGCCTTGGCTTAATGCTTCTCCTTTGCTTTCCTCATGACACGCAACAAAAAGCCAGACTGGCCAGCACTAATTTAAATATGGAGATCACTAATCACTAAGCCAATAAAAGTTCTGGTTCCCATTGCAAACAGACTAACACAAACTTCACAGAAATAAAATGAAAATCTGATGTGGACTCAAATCATATTTTGCTAGCAATAACAATAACAGGGAAGCATGCCGTTATCTTTGGAAGCCCACCAGCTCAAAATGGACAAATTGTCTTGCATCAGCGGGACATTCAGTACATGAAGGGATTTCCATTTAGTTTCAGAGAGTTTGAAAGAAATTGATGCTGCACTGATGAAGCGATGTAATCTTCCAAACACAGAGCATCCACTGGTTGTGTTGTGTGCCATCTATGATGTCACCAGGGCCCTATCACCTTGACACTTGAAGTTTGCTAGACTTGCTGTAATAAACTCTCGAATGCTAGATGTCACCACTCGGACAAAACATCACCACTGGTATAGAAGTAGAAGAAATTGAAAATGGAAAAAAAAAAAAGCTTTTCTTCCAAGTTTTCTGCAGAAAGTCTCATCCTGCCAAGGTTTTACAGCATCTCTCTTTTAGCCCTTGTCCTTGTATACCATTAAAATGGCAGCTAAAAACTGTTAAGGTCATACACTTGTGTGCACAATCATTTTCACCTAACGTAATCTTTCACTGAATATGACAAAAAATTAGAGATTGAGTTCATGAAGCTATTTATCCTAGACTTCTGCACAAGTAGAAGTCTTTATGCAACCAGACGTCCTACCCCCTGCTAGCCATTAAAGCATGCAGGTTTTAGTCACTTCTGCATTAGTTTCACTTTTCAACCCTGGAAGCAATCTCTGTCTTTTATACTGTCTATTATGGCTCATCAGCATTTTGGCTGTTGCTAGCTGGCGCAGGCAGTGCAAGCATGCACAGGGGTGCAGCTGCAGCTCAGTCAGTAACTATGCGTGTCATTAATAACACTGGTTTTCTGGATGCTAAGCAGAGAACTTTCAAAGTATTTGGCAAGCTGTGAATATGTTGCTACTTAATGCATTTATATGCTCACTGACAAATATCCAAACGGAAACATTGCAGGAGTCCTCAGTTTTCCTGAGTTATAAAAAACAATTACTGCTGATAATTCAGGTGAGCTTGTTTTTGATTATTGGCTGCTACAACTTGAAAATGGTACTTGGTCACTTGATTCTTAATTATTTAAGTAAGCAAAATGTATATTTATAAGTGATATTGCTGATTGTTTTTGTGAACAATGTAGTTGATGTCCAACACAACAGAAAAACAGGAACCACTATGACATTTTGTCAGTCTCTCCTCTGTGAAGCGGCACTCTGCATATCATAAAGAGTGTTTCAGTGGCTTCGTGACACAAAAACGACTGAGGTTAGAGCTCATGGTGGGTATTCAGCACAGGTAAATTTAGTTCAGTTCTACACTGGAAAGACTGAAATTACAAGAACTGCAGTTGAATTATTACTCAGCTCCTAGAGTGACAGCATTTCCCCTTTAATATGTTGACAAGTAAATTAGCTGTAGTGACATGAAATTTCACCATAACCAGCAATTTCGATTTTTTTCATGATTTTCCTTTGATTTGAAAGTGTCTACAATGACTGACATTCAAACTTTTAAGTAATATTACTGCTGCTACATTCTGCCACTGGTCCCTGAATCAATATATTATTACTACATGTGGAAATAAGCCCTATTGGGTGCGGTCAGACCACATGTAAACAAAGACATATTTAAATTTAGTGAAAACTGAGGCAACATGTTGAGGCATCCTGCATCTTGGATGAAATCCCAGACCAGGTATTTGCAACAATTTGTAAAGCTCATTATACACATATTCATAGCCTATTATCACCCAAAGGTCAGCTCATGTGGCTTAAGCCTTTCTCTGCTCTCTGCCTGTTTTCTGCAGGGTTGAAGTTAATATGTGTTCACAGTAATTGGTAAATGAATAGTCATATATATATATATATATATATATATATATATATCCCTTGTGAAGGGAATTTCAGCAGTATGGGTTAAACATCTGGTTCTAATGGCAGTATGCCATTCAGAGTATGTGGACTATGGAGCAAGCTATGATAGATGGCACTGTAATTCCATAGGCTTTCCTCAGTAATATAATGATGTGAGTGAGTGAGCAGCCTGACAACAAGATAATCGGATCAAGCGATGATGGACAGGCGCTTTCAGTGAATCCATAATTGAGTCAGGGAACTTGCTTGTTCATTGGAGAAGATGCATACAGATTGGGATGAAGGAGCAAGGGAGCGGATCTGAGTGACCTGAATAAAGATAAAGTCAAAGGTTTTCTCACACCGAGAAAAAAGATCCCGATAAAAGTGGAGCTACATGAAAGACAAATGTTTCCCACTTCATGCTAAAACAATAACAGAGAGACATAGAGTGTGTTTTACATTGTAATATCCATCACTGCTGACTTATCTGCTTTATTGTCCTTTAAAAGTTAACATTAACTCTATGCCATGAGTGTTGTGAAACTCACCACTTCATAATCAACATTTAACCTTAAAAAAACAACAACAACAGTCTACGAGCTTGTGTCATAATATAATCACGCTAACAATTAGTAGCAATTCCTACTTTAATTTTACACACTCATTATAAAGTCATGTTTTTATCTAGTTCCTCTAACGTCCTGATTTTGCTACTCAGTTAAAGCGGAGTGTACCAAACTCCAATCTATCATAAGATGGCAACATCAATATTTAACCATTCTGCAACATTATGTGCACTGCCATGTTTATATTTTTTAATTGCACAAAAGGTGCTTCAAGTAAAACAATGATGGCAAATATGTAATAAATAACTTATAAGCAGGACTAAAATATAAAAAAAATAAAAAATGAACTCATGGTCTGTAAATGGAGGTGGGCTTCAGTCTCCTTGGTGAAAGTCAGACTTAACACAAAAACTTTAGAATAGATCGCCTTGAGCTCTGTACCCTTTAAGTCCCACCTCATATGTTTTGCTCAACGTTACTTAACGTGGCTGTTTGACCTTCTGTGGTCTTAAAATGCACATACTGTATTTGATGTGCAGTTTGACACCAGCAGACTGTTTTCATTTCTGCTGAAGTCGTTTTCTCAGGGCTAACCTTGGATCTGATGTGTGTGGACAGGAGCAAGATTGTGTTACATCACCACTAGTCATGAAGCGAGTCATAGTGTGGTATGCCACAATGCTGAGTCATTCCCCAGCACACATACGCTGACAGTGAACTAATCCATACCGTGCGGTGACAGTGGAGTGGAAGCAGTGCTGAGAATTTTTAACAAGGAGTCAAACTTTTCTTCTTTAAATAACTTAATCAGAAGCAATTTCTTTTATCAGGCAGATTATCTCCATAGGTTTTTAAGTTGCCTCGCTTTAAAATACTGCTTGCATTGGGACTAAATGCAAAAAGTCAGCATGATTTATCAGTAGTCAGCACTGTTGCCTTGCAACAAGAGACTCCTGCATGTGTGTGTGTTTGCAGAGGATGTGAATGTAAAGAAGTCCTCTAATGCAGACATAATTTTCCTGGTGTACTTAGTTGTTTTTTCTAATTATCCTTCTTTGGAGAAACAAGGGTAGCAGATTATTTAGGAGTTAAGTCTCCTTATTGCTCTCTACTTGTGTTCTGCAATAAAGGCATAAAAAGCCATTCCAACCATCAGATAATTTAAGGATTATGAACCTGCTGAATAAGAAGTATAGTAGAGTAGAATTTATATGAAATGCCAAGAATTAGTATTAGCTGCGTGTCAGTGCCTCATTCAGGAGATCAGGCTGGTTGCAAATATTTGGTGCTTTTGGTGGATATTGAGCCTGATTTTATTATAAGTTTTGTAACGCCACCCTGAGATAACAAAGCCAAATTTTCTCTTTTGCACAAACAGTGAGGGATGCAGGGTGATATATGCCACATCTATCAACAAACCTACAGAGCTGGATGTTTGAGATGTTTGTATTTCATGGCAGCAAAAGCATATGCTTCTATGACAAAGAGCACTGACACCCTTTTGGATCCTAAAACGGCAAGCAAACGAGCAGATTGCGGGAAGGCTTTAGAAGAGATAATGGACCGTTTCTATTAAGTAAACACTTTTCCAAAACTAGTGTGTACCAAATGTCACAGCCTCCTTCTAAGAAAATATAATTAAAGGCCTCAGAGGTGGAGAGGATAGAAGCTTAGCATGCGGCAGTTTGTAAACACTTCATTACGTCGCTGTCATTCAGCAGAGTGTCTGACAAAGGACAAGTAAAGGCTTCATCAGCTGCATCTGGTAATGAGCATACCCCTGGCACAACACAATGAAGTTGTGATACAGAGCTTTTGTACTCCAGGTCAGTCTAATTGCACATGCTTGGGTAAGTGGTGTAAAAAATCAAGTAGATTTTTAATGTCTACTGGTCAGAATAGCAAACCAAAAGAGGTTCTTTCAGATGAATGGACAAAATCGGCTCACATCCTTCAGCTACTCCAGCTGTAATTATTCCGCTTTCTCTAACTTGATTACCTCTAAACCTTTTGTCATGTAGTCAGCTGCAAGATTAGGGTCAAACTAATTAATGTGGCTGTCAATGACTAGTCCTTCAGTGTATTTGCAAAGAATGTTATAAAGATATTCTTTGTAATATTCAATTTTTTTTATTAATGTAAGGAGAACACATCTCAAATGAATAGTCACAGTTCTACATATCTATGCAGAAACTATTAAATGGAGTCAATTCAATTTTATTTATAGAGCGCCAAATCACAACAACATTCGCCTCAAGGCACTTTATATTTTAAGTCTCCAAAAGTTGATTCTGTTCATCTGGACGTAGTGTTTTCCCAGCCCATTGTTCCTTCAGTGGGCTGGTTTCAGTCATTATGCAAATGTACTGTTTCTAAGATTGGGTAAACCTGCAGTCAGCTGAGACTGAAGAAGTCACTTGGATGAGTGACGTAGCGTTTCTCCCACAGAAAATGCTACGTCCAGATGAACAGAATCAACTTTTGGAGATTTACTTAGCTGGATGATTGAGCATGCATCAAGACGTTTATATTGTAAGGTAGACCCTGCAATAATACATACAGAGAAAAACCCAACAATCATATGAGCCCGTGTGAGCAAGCACTTTGGCAACAGTGGGAAGGAAAAACTCCCATTTTAACAGGAAGAAACCTCTAACGGAGAACCAGGCTCATCGGTCATCTGCTATGACCAGTTGGGGTGAGAGAAGAAAGACAGGACAAAGACATGCTGTGGAAGAGAGACAGAGATTAATAACAAATCCAAACTTCATGTCAACTGTCATTATATAAACGTCTATTAGTTTGTTTTAATCACCGATCACAGAGAAATCAGGTAAAATTATATTACTGGTAGAGAGCTTCTCAGGAAGCTCAGTTTCTTCCACTCATCCTTCTCCAGGGAAATCTTAGAAACCAACTCTCCTTCACCAGGGAGCCAGTGTCTTGGTTGGAGAGGGAAGAAAATAGATTATTTTAAGAATCGCAAAGGATGGTAGGGATACTTTAAAAAGTAAGCCACGCTCATAAATTCAGTTGGTGGAGTTTCTTCTGTATAAACTTGGACTTAAATCTGTCCCTCCTTTGTTCCGTCCTAAATACAATATTGAAAATGCTGCTGCACATAATGTTTCTGAGAACTCTTGAGATCACTGTTGGATTCGACTGGCTGGAGAAAAGAGACCTAAAAATTCTCACATCTCTGGCTGCAATTAGCAGCTACATATGTTTAGTTTGTTGTCTGAGAGGGGACCTGTAGAACACTACTCGGTGAGATCTGCATTTCTGAAACAAAGGCAAGGGAGCAGACATCATTTTTCAAACTGGTTATAATTAGCTGTTTGTGCCAAAGCTCCAGTTTTGAATTAATTAGAGCAAAATTATAGACTGGTTACAAGTGAGACTTGCTAATCTCAAGATAATGAGGGCAAAACATAATTATGACACTGAGGAACTTGATACAGGTTGTACTGGAAGAAAACCTCACGCTAATATCACGCTAAAGAGGAACTGGTATGGATTTTTGAGTGGAAGCAACTATGGGAGGTTAAAGGCCTTTTGGTGTGTCTCTTATTTCTTTACAGTCAAACAACTCTAAAGCAGTGTTAACAGAAAACCCTTTCAGGATCCACTAATCTCAAGTGATGTAAAAAATTAATCGATACATTTCGAAAAATCAATACCAGAGTGAGAGATGGAGCTGAATCTGTTTGGAACCACCGATTCAAATCAAAAGCTATAACAAAAATGACCTGAAAACTGTCAATTAGCCTTCACTTTTGTTTGTCTGACCTTTAATAAGGAAATGCCAGCACTGAATATATGTATTCAGTGCTGTATAGAACTTATGATGGTGTATATGATTTACTCTGGAGACTGACAAAGGTTACACTGTGCATGAATATACCACGTGTGCTAGTGTTTATGAGAGGCATATTGTTGGGCATTTGAATATTGCTGCTAGGAATAAAACCTGTTAACAGTTTCTGTCAACATGCATACGTTATTAGATTGTCATATAGAAGCTAAATTTAAAGTGAACATCACTTGGACGGATTGGAGCCACCCTGAAATGTCAGTGCCTCCTATTATTATGTATTTATAGCTGTATAAACACATACGAGTATTCACTAACATTAGATGCTGATTCAGTGGGATAAAAATCTGGAAGCGTAAACATGATCCGCATTCATTTAGCTAATAGCAGCACTTACTCTCTAGAAATCAAAGTGTTTTTTTTAAATAATATGAAACCATTAGGCCACCCAAACTGAAAATATTTGCATCTCACTGAGTCTCCAAACATACATATTAGCCTAATAAATTCAACTTCAGTAAAAGCAGTAAGACGATGTAAAAATCAGCAGCTTTTGACTAGCTTGCTAGCATTAGCATCGCTCTATGTGCTAACAGCCTGTACTTAAGCACAAAATTCAGCGGTGGTCCCTCCATCCATTCTACACTCAACGTTTTGAGTTTTCAAAAGTATATATCATAATGCAGAACACGTCTGCATTTAAATCTGATTGTAAGTGCAGAAGTAGCCTGGATGATATGAGATGCAATCAGCAGGTTCACTTGTTCAGTCTCGTGTTAATCTTCCTGTCTTAAAGATGAATTTAATGCATCACTGTTACGTCCAGATACAACTCAGCTGAAACTCAGCCAATAAACGTTTCTTCTTAAAGCACTCAACTGGATCCAATAACTTTTTATCTCAGTTGTATATTTTTGTCCTTTATGTTTAGGAGGCGCAGAGAAAAACTCCAGGCCCACCTGAAGGAGAGTCGCAGTTTGAAAAACTACACTACTAGTTCCCATAATGCCCTAGAAGCCAAAATGAGAGCCTCTAACACCAACCTGCAAATTCATGAGGTGAGTACATGAGATGTTTTTTCTCTTCTTTTTTTTGGTGCTTATACATGTAAACACATGGAAAACTGACCTCATGCAGAACTCCCGGTGCTCCTGTTTTGTGAAGACTGTTGGCTCGTTTTCACATGTGCACTGCAACCTGGAATTTTCTATAGGAGCAATATAGGTTTACAAGACAGGATAATGCAGATGGCATTGGCCAGTTGAACATCAGCAAATCTAAAAACTGATCATCATTTAAAGCAATACGTTCTCTTATTTACTTACCTCTTTACTTTTAGTTACGGATTTATGAAAGAGTAAACATGAGGCTGTACTTGTGAGAGATTACTTCTTACAATCAATGTAGCAACATCCAGCTCTCTTCCAAAAAAATTTGTTAAAGCTGGAAATTCAAATGCAGGCTCGTGTTTTAATATAAATCATTCGTTTATCATTGTTGTGGTAGCTTTTTTTTTATCTCACCCATAGAGGCCAGAGTTTTTTGTAACAGTTATAAAGCCGTCCCTGGCTGAATTTCTGGATGTTGTTGTTTTTTTTAGGTAGGAATTTTAAAATATAGCCTTGGGCTTCAGGGGTTGGTTATTATTTTTCAGTAAATTAGTTGGCATTAGCAGGAGTCAACAAACATTAAAACATAAATCTTAATCTGAAAACCAACAAATATTCAAAATGAGATGTCTGCTCCCTAAAGTTATTATCACTGAGCAGACACACACGTCACACACGACACCGCAGAGGATTACCATTAGATTTATGGCTGCCTGCAGTTTGTGCATATGAATAAGTATGTATTGCTGTCTCCACCTGGCCACTTGCAGGAGGCTTACAGGTCTTCTTGAGAGCAATCGTTCAGTGGTTTGGGAGCATGCTGCTGGCTGCCAGTGTCATTCATCATCTCCTCAGTGCTCTGTGTCATCGCGCTCCCAAATGTGCGTCCGGGAGTAGCTGGCATGGACATGAAAATTACCTTAACATGAATGTTGCTCCTGGGAGACTGTCCTTGTGTGTATTTCTACACCAATCTGCATAAATTAACCTTAAGCATTTTTTACGCATTTTTTACAGTTTAATCATGTAAATCCCTCAGGCACTTCATTAGGTACACCTATGAGATCTAACATATTCCAGTACAACATCTATACCATGAATTACTGTGTTTCCAGCTTGTGATTTTCTTATCTTTATTGCATAGGTCATAATGGGTGCTGGTAGTGCTCCACCAGACTGCATTATATTTAAATGGTTCCAAATATTTTGTCCACTCCACTGAAATTAATACACAAGTGTGTAAAGTATTAGAAACATTTTTAAATGCACTGTTGGTCTATACACAAGGGGCTCCATCATAAGTGCATTAATATGCAGAAGATGAATAAATCACTGTGTGGGAAAAGCAGTGGAGATAATTACATTTCATGCTGGCAGTTCGTGATACAGCTGACAGATTTATCCTGATTTGTCATCATTGCAAAGACTGTCCTCTGAAAAAAATACATCAGCGGTTGTTATTTCATTAAAAAGCTTGAAATATAATATCTTCACCTGTAATGCCAAAGAAGGGAGTTTTGCAACATGGGTTGACAAAAAAAATAAGATAGATGTCAAACATACCAACTATATCTGGATACATCTTTGGTTTTGACCCCAGAAGCCACAGTTGCACTGCACTGGTTTTTGACACCAAAAAGGCAATGTTGTCCATATTTTATCTGACGTTTTAAAAGAGACCTAAAGTAATACTTAGACTTTGGAAAAGTAAGCTATGGTAACTTGTGGCTACAACCTTATATTTACCATACAGTCACCAGCATGGTATCAATATTGTCATCTAAATTTTGACAGCAACAGAGAAAATTTCCTTTGTCTGTTATGGCATATTTAAAATTTCAGATGAATCTGTTAAACAAATGAGTAGTTTTGCGAGCATAATAGTGTCATACTTGATTTGAAATGCAGAAATTGAGATTCTGATTTTTTTTGTATCGACACTTTCATCGAAAAATAAAAACGAAATGAAAATGTCCTGGAGACACGAGATCCAATCAGAATGAAGCTGTATAGAGAAGCGGGATGATCCAATCAGAAGTATTCTCCTTTTACAGCAAAAACTGATCTGCTAGTGACAAATGTTGGGGAGGGGAAGCACCCTGTTTTTCATGAAATATGCCAAAATGTCAGCGTTGGACGAACAGAAGAGTCGACACATGGACACATTTCATGCTTAATGTCTTTGAAAATAAGAAGCTTTGTAAACCATGCGGAGCAACTTTCACCAGTAAAAACACGACACACTTTTACAGTTTATATTTAATGAACTTTATCAGTTTTGATATTTTGTTGACTAAAACTAAAAGAATTTAGAAGCCCGATTTATGGCTAAAACTAACTGACATTTTAATCAAAGTTTCCTGTCAAAATCGTCACTAGTACTTCGGATAATGTTCAAAGTATAGTTCAACACACACACTTCTTTCAGTCATTCTAGCACAAATTCATTTTGATTTATCTGTCTGATTGATCTTGTAAAGCAGCGGTCCCCAACCCCCGGGCCACGGACCAGTTTGGTACCGGGCCGCGAGAGTAGAGGCTCGGGTATGAAATGTATGGTTTTCAGGGGTTTTATCGTTTTTTATCATTTTATTGTTTCCCTGGGTCTTTTCCCGTGTGTTATGACTAAATCTTATTTTTATTGTTACCGGTACTGGTTTTATTTTGTGGTATTTGTCTGCAACACCTTAAAGGTCGGTCCGTGAAAATAAGCCCGTCCATGGTGCAAAAAAGGTTTGGGCCGCTGTTGTAAAGGATAAAGGACCATCTTAGGGTAAAACCTTGGCTTGTACAACCAATTTAATTCAGTTTTATCAGTTTTATAGCACAAAATCACAACAAAACTTATCTCAAGGTACTTTACATTGTAAGGTAGAGCAATTATATTATTAATGCAATTATGTTACGCTTACCTCCTCAAACAAATCTAATCTAAACCATCCGCTTGGCTGCTCCGTGGTCTCCCAGATGTTTTGGTGTTCCCAAGCTTGCGACTGCATTTTAATATCGTCCCAACTTGTTGATTTGTTGACTGCATGGTTCCCTTTGTCTCTTTTCTTTCTTTCAACTCCAGACCTTTGATCTCCTTATGAAAAAATAGGTGTGTAAATCCGAAATGTATCAACCATTCCTGAATGTTTTTAAAGACTTTGAAAGCTGAACGTCTACATATCAATCACATTTTGATTGTTTCATTTTAGTTTTAATGTCAGCCTCAAATAAATGTCAACACATTGACACTCTTGCCCGAAGCCTCCACCTTCAGTTTCAGTTCAGACGATTCAAGAGTGTAAGACATGGCTCGGAGACAGAGTTAACCAGAGTTTGAAAGCAATCTGAAAAATCTGGAGTTTGTAAAGATGGTGTGTCAGGTGCGTCTCCTCAAATTACCTTCAAGGTAAGAGGTCTGTCGAGGACAAACATACTGGCTTCCCAAACTAATGTAATGATCAGAGGAATAGCAAAAGTCCAGCCTCCAGCATAACTGCATTGCACATAATATGCCCAAAAAACAGTCAATATTATTTTAATCTCAAAGAGAAACATTTATATTTCAGACAAATAACTGAGGTATTGTTGGAAATTGTGCAGCCATTAGAAGTACATCACATTTCATTTCACTTTCAACCTAAATGTCAGAGTTACTGAAAACAAATGCAAATAGATTTCTGTGTTTATCGACCCGATGAGAGAGAAGGCACAGGAAGACAGATGAGTTATATAGATCAGAAACGAGTCTGGGAAACTTGAATATTTTGTCTGCATACTTATGACTTGAAACTCCATTCTGATTTTCAGCTGTGTAGCTATTTAAGGACATTTTTGTTATCTTTTTACTTTCTTATCTCCTTTTGTTTTATGGAAGTCAACAGGAGGAATGTTGTATTCCTTTTTCTTCTGGTTTATAGAAGCTTCATTCAAACTTTAAGTGGGTCACTGTTCTTTATCTCAGAATTTCCACTTTGCTTTATCTTTTTTCACTTACCTATTTTTTCCAACATCACTCTGATACATGATAATATAAATGGTCCAGTGCATGCAGGGACATCACATTAAATGTCACATCACCTAACATATTCAGCCACAGCCTAGTTTATCGACAACACAGCTGCTCATTGATTGTCACTGAGGCATTAAGCTTGTCTAAACTACACTGCTTCACATCTAGTTTTGAAATATCATGTTGTATTGAGAAAAAAGCTTTTTCTTGTTCTAGTTAAGAAGCCCACACTCGCTCGTCTTATTGATGAGAGACACCAGATTAGTAGCAACGCTCTTTTTACTAAAACACGTGTGTTGTTGACAGTGCCTTTAAAGATGTCTTTGTCATTTAACGGATAGTGATTGAAGTGTAAATGACCATTATTGCCTCCCTCTTATGGTGCACTTCAATTATTATTGTGTTATTTTGCAATAATTAATGATCTTTTCTGCAAAGAATTGAAAAAAGTAGACTATAATCGAATATCACATGCATATATTGCATAAATCTGTACAGAAAATTATTTAAAATAAGCACTTTGGCTTTTATTTTCCTTACTGATTATTGTTTACTGACTCCAAAAAATGTTTTGTGGTGGAAAAACAAGGCGGATCTTTAGTGCATAAACGTTGCTTTGAAATCTTCTTTTATTTATTTAAATTCTACAACAGTCTTTGGGGAACTGGCATGCAAATGAGCAGCATTTGTTTATTTTGTGCCTACGCACCCAGAATCACATTGATTTCTGTCTGCAGGCAATCAATTACTAAAATTTCTGAAAGGAGAGCAACAAGCATGGGGTCAATGGTGTATTAGGATCTTACACACACACAAAACAGCCACACACACATTCATTTCTGTGGCATTTTTTCACTACACAGACACATTTTCGTTTTATTATTATACCCAACTTTCATTTAGATTCGTACTTTTCATCTCATTTTGCAGTAGCTACAAGTAGATCTAG